CAAAAAATAAGGGCCACCCTAATAAATATGGATAGTTACCCATACTGGAATATATATATCTATACTATATCTATACTTGGAAGTAAATGGACATAAGTGTATTAACATCTTTTGTGGTTTGAAGGTAAAAAGGTATATTTAAGCTTGTACCTATTTATTTATAATTTATTATGGTATTTTTACTTTAAAGTAAGTTATTTGATACTTGATAGTAGAGCACGACGAATAATTCACTTATATTTTTTTACCACAGTCGAAAATTTTTAGATCAACTGTGTACTTAACTCAGATTTTTTAAAAATGTAAATTATACAGGCTGTGTTATAGGTGTCTCACATGATATTTGTACTCAGTATACCTAGTTAAAAGATGGTACTTTTTATTTTTTATCCTTATAAGTTGACGTTTTTAGGTAATAAGTTATAACCCAAAAACGAAGAAGAGTTTGTTCAGTTATAAGTTATAACTGAACTAATTTTTCTAATAAGTATAAATGATTACCCTTATGCAAATAAATGCAAAATATTTATATAAAATTCTATATGACACCATTTTAAAACTTGTTGTCACTTTTTAGAGATTGATGGTTAATGGTCATTGATGGTGACAAATTTACAAAGGTCGTGTGACACATAATTTCAGGATAGAATTTTGCAACCAATTATTTGACGATGCTGAATTGAGATAGAATGTAAGAAAATCTGCAATTATAAACAATTAGTACCAAGTAAGGTATAATGTTTGTTCATTTCATATAATTTAAGTTAATAATTTTCCTTAACTTAAAATTTCAATACAGATCTCATCAAACGATGGGTTGCAAAAAATCGACCCTGAAATGATATGTTACACAATTTTTTGTAAATTTGTCATTATCAACCACCATTATCCATCACTAATCACTAAAAGGTGATTAAAAGTGTTACAACTGTGTCACATATCATTTTATATTAAAATTCTTCATCCGTTTTTATGATGGTAGTTGTTTTTACTAATTAGAAAACCTTATTGCAGTTATAGCCTAAAATATTAATTTTTGAGTATGGAAAAAAAAGAAGTAGGTATATCGACTTTAAACTAGGTATGAATATCATATTTTTCCACTTTTTTTTCCACCTTGTATATAAATAGAATTATTTTCGAAGATATGCTTTTAGAATGTTTGAACTTCCAATTCCCGACCTCACAGTATGTTTGTAAGTTCTCAAGAATTACTTTAGCTATTTTGATAAAACTTTTTTTGTTGAATTCCTTATCGTTTAGAAAAAAAAAACGGTTTTATATTGCAACTGAAATAAGATGGCTGAGGGATTTCAACCCTAGTGACGGAGCTCTTCTCCTCATTAGTAATTACAATTATGTTTTTTTTTAATAAATTTATCTATCTCTATGCAAACGAAACGGAAATTTAAAAATACTTCCTGCATTATATTGCTGGACCTACATCTACCTACCTATATTCAAATTTGTATATCGCTGTGTGTCGTAGATTTACTAACACAAGAAACTTTTATTACATAAATCTATATTTGTATTCGTCTATTTCTTCCCAAACCTTATATTTACCTTTAGTTTGGTAGTGTGAACGATCAGGAATCACAGTTTGCTTTGTTTCTCTAGGCTGCTCTTGCTTTTGTTGGATCACCTTTGACGATATTTGTTGAGAACCAATTTCACCTATTTTATGAAAAGCTTATATAAATCCCATCCAATTAAAAAAAAATAAAGATTATTTTACTTTCTGTTTGTTGTTTTTGTGAACTATCAGCAACCTTATTTGGGTTTTCATTCACAAGTTGTTTTTGTAGTTTTGTATTTTGAGACAGCAAATAGCTTCTATACCCTTTTTAAAATATTAAAAAAAATTCAGTTCATAATCATACAAATTATATAATAACATAGGTATATTTTAAAATTAAATGTTGCACATAAACATTGTTTCTAGTATGTACAGTTGTATAGTATAAATACTCTCCTAGGACAATGAGGACGGGTGCAGCCACTGTTATAGGTGAGAATTTGAAAAAGTACTGAAAGGGAAATTTAATGTATATCTGTGCACAACGATAAATCATTACTAACGAAAAAATGATTCTGAGCGGAGTTCAGTTGATACTGTTGTTTCATTAACAATGTATATATATATATATATATATCATATGATGGTAAAATAACGATATATGCATTATATGTATTTTCTTTAATATTTGTTTAATTTTGTACCAATTTTTCCGTTTTGCTTACGTTTTTTCCGGTTTTCCCATGTCTTTTCCCGATTTTTCCCAGATATTATAGATACCGCTTGAAAAATCAAAAAATTGACATCTCTAAAGTACCATGTAGATAAAATCTCCTTTCAGAGAATGTACTAAACTTGATACATAGGAGCAAGATTTCTAAAAGAAAAGTTTGCACAACAAATCGAGGTGTATTTTTCGATTTAAATAGTTCGAGCGAACGATATCTGGGTCTCTATAAAAAAAACTTTGTCCAACTTAAAAGTATACCCGGTGGTGGACAAAAAAACGTCCATTTTCGCGCATGTATTCCCACACCCGGCTACCGGTACCGCGTCATCCACTCACCAGCCTATCAATCTTGCCACACACGGTATTTGACATACGTAGAGAACAAAATATCGATAACATTTCGTTTTAACGGCCTTACCGCGCACACGTATTTTCTCGCACATATGCTCTATTTTAATTTGAATAAACGCTATAATTTACGTTTTAAGTAATGTAATTTTTCTGGTAATGTTGCCGGTTAATTTGACTAAAACAGTATAGGTATGCGTGTATATTACGATTTATTTTTCGATAAGTATTATAGATATTATAACTCGCTGTATACACGACGGCGGTGGTGACAACGTCAGCACGCGGCATACAAAATTATGCGCTAACGGGTATACTCTTAAGCTGAACAGGGTATAGGTATACCTAAAACGCATTTATTTTTTCCCTGTTTAGATAAAAGGGAAAAATAAATGCAAAACACTTTTTACGAAACTTGGGTTTGAATTCGTGATCCCTATGATGACAATAATTATACATACCTCTCCCGCGAAGATATATCCCTTGAATATCTTCGGAGACAATAAAGATAATTAAATTATGTTGTTTTTTTTTATTACTCACAGGGAAGAAGACTACACAAAATTATATTTGACTTTATTTTTTTTTATTATTGAAAAAAATTTCGGACAATTTTAAGATAGCCATTTTGTAAAAATGTATATACACATTTATATTCGATGAATAGTATCTAAGTAAGAACCATTTTAAATTCTACTAATCGGTGTGGAAATCGATGTTATCTAGGGAATAACCTAACCGTTTTATGCGATTTTCCGAAAAATAAAGTTATTTTTTTTAAATTTTTAAAAAAAAAAAAAAAATTAATTCAATTATAAATATTTTTAACCCTATCCCAGTGAGTAATATAAAAAAACAGAATTTGATTGTCTTTATTATCTCCGTAGATATTCAAGTGGTATATCTTCGTTGGACAGCCTGTATACCTATTATCATGATAGGGATTACGAGATCTTCTGTTCAAATTTCAAGTCTCTACAAATATTTTTAACTGAATTACAACAAATAATAAAATGAAAAATAATAAAAAGTATTATTTTTGTAAATTTCTGGGAAAAAACGGGAAAAATTACGAAATACGCGAATATTTTTAACAGACAAAAAAAAATATATAAAATTATAAATGTACAACTAATATTTTTAAATTAAATTCGAATAATATTATAATAGGTGCTTACTTTTCTTCGCGATCTTAATTTTTGTGGTATCATCTGCGATAGAAAAATAAAAACCATAATCAATAAACAGTTAAAATCAAATATGCATATAATTATATTATAATAATAATAGTTACAGTAATACCTTGCTGCTTTGCATTATTTCGTTCCATTTAAAGTAACGATGTGTCGCCGTGGAATAGTAAAACAATGAGCCAACGGACCGCGGACGAGAACAGTTTGAAACTGACTGAAGCTGGGACAACGGCGACGATGCGTAAGCCGTGGCGTCGTTCGACAATCTATTCGTTCCTGAAAATGTTAACTGCACTCAAAATGTTCACGGTGGTATAGTATGGTAAGGGAAAACTTTAGATCTTATACTGTGGATGGCGCCATCTACCGTGGAACAGAACTTTCGAATACGCCTACGCATAACGCACAAATATACGACGTGACAACGAACGATATTTATAGTAAATAAATATATAACTAATGTACATATAAAAATAAATGAATAAATGGAATATTATGATAAGTGTATTTTACGACTGGTTTCGAATTAAAACAACCTCTATAAAAGGCAAATATAAATTTTCTGTCCGAATTTCAAATCCATAGACTCGATACGAATTTCTTACTACTGAATTTTACCAAAAATATAAACATTTTTTTAAAAAATTTGAAAATAGCTTTGAAATTTTTACCACGTCTTGAAAGGTAAATATAAGTTTTCTGTCCGACTTTCGAGTTTCTACGAATATTTTTAACTGAATTACAACAATTACAACAAATAACAAAATTGATAAAATGATAAAATCATTAATTTTGCACATTTTCCGTTTTTCTTACGTATTATTCTGGGTTTTCCCAAATATTATGAAAACCACCTGGAAAAAGAAAAAATAGTCTCCCAAAAGTACCATCTGGACAACATTCCCGCGTTATATATCTGAGCAAGATTTATAGTCAAATGTTTGTACACAGGATAAAAAAAAGAAAATAGAAGCATCTTAGTAAAACCAATACATTCTTCACTACATTCAGAATCTAAAATTAAATAAAGGAATACATAGAAAAAATTATACAAATAAGTCGTTTTACATAGAAATAGTTTATTTTAATAAATATTTTAGTCAATACTAAAATCAATTTTATTCTTTATGATGGAAAATGTAAGATTTAAAAAATTGAATTTATTTTTTATTTGTATTTCGAGTGTAAATTGAATGTATTTATTTATTTTGTTTAAGTTAGTTAACTAAATTCTCTGCTTGTCTATTTGAACCTCTAAATAAAATGAAAGTGTCTTCAATATATCTATAATATACTTTTTATATATAGATTATATATTTTGTTGTTAATAATATTATTGGTTTCATAATTTTGCATGTAAAGTCCAGATAAAAGTTCACTTAAAGGACCACCCATAAATAGACTTTTTTTTTGCTGGTATAATTTATTATTACATTGGAAATAATTTTGATTAATAATTACAATTAATCGATTGAATAATGTCTTGTACTAAATTTGTATTAAATTTATTATTATGTATACGTTTTTTTTAAAAAAAAGACATTTGCTGTTTAGTGTTTAAGAATGGATGAATATACATTTTTGACGTCAAGAAAATACTTTCTGACAAAACGTGAGTTATTTACAGTTATCTTAAATGTTTGAGTTTTTTTTGTTGTCTGGCTACAAAATATATTGAATGTGTATTTTAAAAAATACCTAATTATAATATTAAAACCGCGTTCACTTTACACCGTACCGTCGTTCATCCCCCCGCATTGTATAGCAAATACAGGGTATACAGACCCTCGCCCGCACACAGAGAAAACGGCAACGAGCGAGCATCCTGCATTCGAGTGACTACTATTAATAAAGTCCCGGGAAAAGGGGCTCGATCGATTTTCCGCAGTCTACAGCTTTTCCGTATTGTAGTTTATATTTCATAATATATTAGTTAAGCGTTTTCAAATCGTTGGAATATTTTGAGTACGACTGTGACGGCAACGCGGCAGTGTCCTCAAAAGGCCGAAGCAGATGATGTAAATCTATACTATATTTTGACCGATTTTAACAATTTTTTTGGTTTTAAGGAATAAAATATGTACCATTCCCTCACTAGTGTTCCATTATATATAATAAGTATTAATTATAACTTTATTTTGTAATCGGAATTCCAAATACTCGGCGGCATTTGAATCTTTTAGTCACACTGTTATAAATATCGATTATTTTGCACGGGTATGTTATGTGGACGTAATATTTCATTATAAGGACTCGGAGGCGCTCAAAACGAAAAATAATATAATACAGAATCGTCGTAACCAGGAATACATGAATTTAAAACAAGATAATTACAATCAGCTAGGAGACATATTATATCATACAACGGGAATTTCTTTATGCAAAACACGATATCTGTCTTTTTTGATTTTGTGATTGTTTTCGGTAGTAAAGCTCAAAATAATTGTAGAGACCTACGATTTTCACACAATAATTATATTTACCCATCCTATACGTGGTTAAATTTTGAAAACATTCTAACGGTCTGTGAGCCATTTAAATCCATATAAAATGTTTAAGTTTTTTTTTTTTTCATGTTGCCTACAAAATATGTTGCACGTACACTCCAAAATAATGATTTTGTACGTTTCCGTCCCAACGACCGCCACCCTAAACTGCGGTGGTGACGGCTGCACAAAGCTCTCGAGGACCCCGCACGATCCCTCTACTCCGTGCCGTCGTTCATCCCCTCGCATTGTATAGCAAATACAGGGTATAGAGACCCTCGCCCGCACACAGATAAAACGGCGACGAGCAAGCGTCCTGCATTCGAGTGACTATTAATAAAGTCCCGGGAAAAAGGGGCTCGATCGATTTTCCGCGGTCTGCAGCTTTTCCGTATTACAGTTTATAATTCATATTATTTTAGTAATACGTTTCCAAATCGTTGGAATATTTTGCCCAACCAAATGTGAAAACCTCTCGGCATATTAAATAATTTTAATATCATACTTAGGTATATTAATGTAGAAAAATCTAATACTGTTCATGTATTATGCAGATACATAATGTAG